CTACGGGGACCATATTTCCCAGATTGCGGATACCCCCTATATTTTGAAGGTTGAGAATCCAAATATGTAAAAAAAAAATGCATGTTTATTCACAGAAAGTACGTTTTTGTGTCTGATTTCGTAATTTAATTAATAGCTTGCACTAATTAATTAGCATATTTGAGGTCACCCCCAGGAACCATTAAGATTGACACTTAGTTCGTGAAAATCCGATCATTAGAACGAAAGTCATTCAGGGTGATTCGTTTTTTTTTTGCGGACTGTACAGTTCTAATGCGACGTAACTAAAACTCCTACCTTCATTAATTCGTTGACGCATTATCTGTTTACACTGTGTTATCTGGGTATACAATTTCAACAAAATCTTTTTAATGTATACATACATTGCTTTTAAAATGAAGACAAATATCAGCAAGCGAAAAAACAGATTCATAAAAATTTACTTTTTTTAAAATCTAAATCACTGAAGAGGGAAACGGAACGCTCAACGAAATTGGATTCTTCCAGCTAAAATAAAATATAAAATTTTTAATATATTATATGAAAATAACTTGTTCCAAATTAAATGTTAAAAACTCGCCGCCCTTTTTTACCCTTTTTGTTATAATCATGTTTTCAAATACATTATATTATCTCTTTCTTTTTTTTCAAATGAAATCGTGATTTAAAATGTGCTTTTTATTTAAATGTTCATTTTTTAATGTAATAAATATTTTATGAATTTTTTCAAACTATTATTTTTAACGCTGTCATCACCAACAACTAAAAAACAAAAATAATACCTAAATCATGAGACCATGCCTTTATGCATGCCAATTAATGTATGAAAAACCTTCCCCCACACAGACGAGAAAAACAAAAAAATAAGCATGAAATTTGAAAAATAACATGTAATCATGATATAATAATTAAAATTAAGCAGAGATAAATAAATGTACATGTTGATCCCATATTATTTTAATCAATGAAACTTGTTGCTATAATAAATAACAATTAACAAAAAGTAACAATTATAAGCATTATTCTGAAGATAATACTTAAATGTTATTAATCATGGTTGGCTTTACACACCAAAATATGAGTAGAGGGGATATTTTCCTTCTGTGATTTGTTGCACCTACTATTGTGAATTTCAAACTTGCATTTGATGTATCAAAAGGGGTTGTTTCCCTATTTCAACTAGATTGTGCCAATTAAAATTGTTAAAGCGAAAAAAAAGAGAAAAGGTTTTGTACTTTGCAAAAATTTAAAAAGAAGTATGTGGAAGTTTTCCTGAGGATTACTACAACTTATATTTTTTGAGTTCCCATTCTGAGATATTTTCTTAATTTCTCGTGGACCACTGGAAGTTCATGAATACTTTGCTATAGGAAGCCTCATAGAAATACTCATTAAATTTTTAATTCCCTATTAGGGTTACTTCTGTATTGTGAGCAGTTATGCCAACTGCTCTCGCCTAGGCACCAAATAGATTTCCAACTGCTAACTTTTTAAAAGAATGTGTAAAAGTGTGCAAAAGGTAGCTATGAGTTATACTCTTCAAGTTGATCTCCGTCCGTTAATTTTGTTTAGTTACTCCTGGTTTCCTCCTGGTTGCTGCATGGAAGTTGCTTAGAAGATATAGTGATTATTCACCGGCAGATCATGATACGGGCATTTTTCTTACTGTTTTGCCTACTCAGTACGAGGTGGCATTTTTATTAGCAAATGAGACGAGACATGTTTTATGTGTGAAACAGTCCCATCATATTGTTATTAATTTGAGCTGTCTTATCTACCTATCTACTATTGTCTTATAAAGTATAAAAACTATTAGTTGCTGCATTTTTAAAAAAGTTGAGTAGTGGCAGTTGCGATTCACGGCAGTTTCTTTTAACTTTACCTTTTTAAAGAACCAAGGGTTAAACACGCTTGATTGACTTAAATTTTACAAGAGTCTATAGCAGATGGTTTCGGGATATAATCTTCAGCCAAAATGTCGTGGAAGTATCATCTTAACAAACTATTGCAAGTGAAAATCTCACATGGACAAAACAGTTTTTTGAATATTTATTTTGCAACGTGATATCTTTATTAAAAAAAAAAACACCCAGTTGAACATTTACTGGACATTTTTCTTCTTATTTTTGAAACAGTTTTTGAAATTTATCAGCTAAAACGATATGGAATATAACTGCAGTAATTTTCAATATTAAATTATCTTTAGAATTATTCTTATTCAAGCATTTATTTAAATTTACATTGCTGTTTAAAACTTTTTTAATTCTTTTATAGTCACTGTATTCTAAAAATATGCCTAGGCAGGGGTCTGTCTAGGCCGAATTTACTACCGTTCAGCGGTACCTTCACAAATTCAACTTTAGGAAAAACAGTAGTTTCACAACATACTTTTTCTTATAATTTTATTTTTGTATTCCTTAAGAAACAATAAATTAATATTTTTGTGTTGATTTTTTTATATAGTTTTTAATTTTTCCCAAATTATGTCTAAATTTTCACAAAATAGGTACCTCTCAGAAAAACCTTGACAGACCCCTGCTAGGTGAAAAGGTTCAATTGAAATTTTGATTGCTAAATTTTTCTTTTAAACAATTTTTGTCTTGGTTTTTACCTAGCTTTTTACTCTTCTTAAAAACTTTGTTTTTATTAACTGTATGACACAGTAATTAAGAGTGTTTCTATTGACTTTATTCTTATCTGGAAAATATGATAATTGAAAAGCTGAGATGTAGAGCTTTAAAATTTTATTTTGAGAATTAAAATAGATTTTTCTGTTTTTCATTTGTATATAATCTTTTGTTTTTGTTAGTGTTTTTAAGATAACACAGCATTTTAATAACATATTTCTAATAGATTATATTTTAGTTAATGTTTTGCTTTATGGATACTGCATTGCAGAAAATTTTTTTCTCAGCATAGAAGTTTTGTTGTAACAATTATGATAATTTTTTTTCTCTTTCTATTTTACTTTATAACTTGAGTTTTTTTATAGGTATTTCTTGATTAATTTTTTTGTTTTCCCTTTAGCCCACTCCACTAATATAGATAGGCATGGAGTAATTTCCAATAATAAACTAACTTATTTATTCGTAAAAAATATTGATGAATGATTTTAAAAAAAAAAAATATTGCTATAAAAATATATTCTGCATTTCAACATTTTTTTTTAGCTAACATTCTGTCAAACCATTACTCCTAACCTCTCTTTTTCTGAATAATAAATGTGCCCGCATAAGCAAAACAAAATATGTTTGAATAATTTCAATGTTTTTAAACGTATTAACTGAATGAAATTTCTTTTTCATAATCTGTTGATGTACTTCTGAAGAAGATCTTCGGAAAGGATCTAACTTTGGGAATGAAGCTCCATCAAGTCTCATTTGAAGGCACCTGAATTAAGTATGTCTAAAGAAATAACTGTATTTGAATTGTTTCTTTTTTTCTTCTACTTAAAAATGGGTAAAAAAAATTCATGAAATTATAAACATGAACAAATCAACTGTTAAAAATAATTTCTGATTACTTTTGCTGATATTAAAAATAGTAATTAAAAATTGCTTACATAGGCTGCTCATGCTTCAATAACAACGTAAAAGAGTACTCAAAAACGTGTCTCTTAAAATGAATTATCATATATTGTAAATATATTTCGCATGTACTGTAGAATCCTAATTATTTGATGCACAATCATCAGCATTTGCACTATTCAACTAATTTATAATAAAAGTTTCTGGTGTAAGTTTCATCGTTAGTATCAAGTAGAATGGTAAACTGTTACTGTTTTTACCACCACTATTTTTGCTGTTCCAATGTTTTATTTCACTGGCACTTAAAAAATATGTGTTTTATCTGCATTAAATTAGTCTTTTTATTTATAGTCCTCGATAAATTCATAGAAATTCTGAAACTTCTATTTTGCTTTCATGAATTCTTCATCGATCATACAGATTGATGAATCACTCAAAGGCTGAGGACACTCAAACCAACCATTTGGCAAACATTCAAATGAATTATAAAATGAATAAACAACATCAATTGGAAATTCTCGGGGAATTAAGATTTAATCAAATTGCTCAGTATTTCAATTCTCCGTGGTAGAATCGCTGCGACACGGCGACATTGTTGCAGAATTTTACAGAGTTCTTGCAGAAAAATTTTTATCTTGAAAAGAAGAAAATATTGCTTTTCTTTTTTTCAGAAATATTTGAACATGCAATATTTGAATCCTTCATTTAGATAATCAGTTTTGGGCACGCTCAATTTTCACCGATAGTATCATAAATCGACGTAATGTTTCGATAGTATTTTCGGCAGTTATTGATATTGATTTTTATTTGGTTCTTAACCATCTTGATATATTTAAACAATATGGAAAACTCGAATCGTGCATTTGAGTATCTATTTTTCATAGCTATCTATTTTTTTAAAAAATCCAATCGAATTTTGGAAAGTTACAGATGTTGATTTCTCCTTAGTTTTTAAATCAGATATTTTTTATACGATATTATTTATTACAACCGAATTTCAAAGTGCAACAAGCTTTTGAGGAGTCCAATTTATGCAATGACATCATATATATATTTTTTTTGGGGGGGGGCAAGTAATACTACGGATTTCATGATATTTAGCAATTTTTTATTGTGATGATTATTTACAAAATGCGAAGAAGCAAATAAAGTGTATGTTTTCCCACCAACAAAATGTGAGAATATCACCCATAATATTAAAAAAAAAATTTTTTTCATGCTAAATTAAGAAAATCATTATTATTTTTTTTGCATTGTTAACACAGCGTATTTGCCATTTTAAATTAGCAGCATACGTGTTTGCTTGTATTAAAAGTATTTTGCAATTAGATATTAGTGCTAGAGAGTTTAGTCGCAGATAGCTCAAAAACATTCTACCACAAGATTTCAAATTATCCTTGTTTTAATTAAAAAAAGCCAATTGTATATATGTTTATATTTATTTATTTATTTATTTATTTGTGTTCATCTGCAGTTTTCTACGATTCTACACATTAGAAATTGAGCTTTCAATATTATTAACTTTAATCAATGATTTTATATCTATGACTATACCTATGATATTTTCCATTTATATGAAATATCTGTCTATGATATTGTCCTTTTATTTTTATAAAGTTTTTTTTCTCAATAACTTCTGCACTATATTATTATGCTTACATTAAATGAAAATTTTTTTTGATTTCATACTGTTTAAAAACATATTTTATTTAAATATCCTATTTTTCCAAGAGAATGCTTTTGTGTTTATTATTTGGTGTTAAAGTATTAATGATTAAAATGTTTTAAAACACGATTCAATGTGTATATCAAGGTTGCAAAAAATGCTTACATTTTTCTGAAAGAGTTAGACTGACTAGTTTTCATTAATTTATTATATTTTCTTGCATTTTACTATATACATTTAGCATACTTAAGTTCCAACTTCTTCTTTTTTTTAACAAAAACTATTAAGTAAAATTCACGTAAAATTTCTAATATTGCAGAAAACTTATATATCTTGTAAGTTAAGTAGTTCATGCAACGGACATTATCACGACAACAAACTATATGAATTACAGTTTGACGAAAATATGTATTTGTTTTTACACCTTTAAAAAAGTTAAAATTTTTTTTTGATATATCTGCTCTATACTTGTTCAAAATATTTTTTTTTTTTTTTTGCAAGGGTGTGGAAAGTGGGTAATTTTGTTTTGCTCATATATGTATATCTATGCAACATTAAAAAAGATAATTTCTAATTAGTTCCCAGCATAAAATTATAATTTTTTTAAACAATTTTAAGTTTAAAGCTGTTCCTCCGAATTGTTTCTATAGTCCAAAATTGCTACACTGCATTACTCGAAATATTCTGTCATGTTGCTACAATTAACTAACACCATTGTGTTCCTTTCATTTAATCACATTTTTCGAAGAAATATTTATTAAAATATTTCTCCAAAAACTGTGTTTTGTGAAGTTTTTTTTTTGAAATATTTTTATCCAGTCCTTTTAAAGTGGTTTAAACAAATGAAGTATTTACTGCCCCAAGCAACCTGATAGTAACACACTAGGGTCAAGGAACACAGAACCTATTTTTCCCACACTGGAAGTTAATGCCCCACCATTACTAAGAATTCCGTTGTAGAAATGAATTTCTAAATCACCAAACAGCTTTCTAATGTATTTTGGAGTAAAGTGTTACGTTTTAGCAGCGATTTTCCTGAAATTAAAGAATTTTCAAATTAATCATTTTTTGTTTAAAAAAGCTTTAACAGAGGCAATTGTAAAATGTAATTCTTCACTTGAACTAAATAATATATAGTTTAACAAATTACTGAATTTGTTAAAATTACTCCTTTTGTATATTAAAGATACTGTTAGTGTTAAAAGGCATAGTATTTTTACTTTTTTAATAAATGAGAATTTAAAAATTACGTAACTGAAACTAATCGAATTGTGTTTCTGAACTACAAAGCTCTTGCAAGATATTCTGAAGAGGAATGAAAATTGCAGCTAAGGAGAGGAGCAAGAAAAAAATCAAAAGAATGAGAGAGGAAAATAAATTTCTGATGATAAGTAAATAGACAGAAAGTATAGGGCAGCTTTTAGGACAAGTTCACCTGACAACAGGCGCAAGTCATGGCAACTACTGCGGTTATGAGAAAAAGTCATTTCAAATAGGGGTGTTTTGTGAATAGTTTTGTCTTGATTTTAGGTCAGCGTGGGTAAGCCAATTGTCACCTTTATTCCTCCGTTGTTCCCCCGGTAGAAATGTGCTCTTATATGTTACCGACAGCAACAGACTAAAAGTCTGGAGGAGTTCTCCTCAAAGCCACAAGAAAAATAATTATATGTTTTGTTTATAACTTACTGCTGGCTTCCAGGTAAGATTTAGCTAGGATAAAAAAAAATTTATGAAATATTCTAATTCAGATTTGTGCTGTATATGTATGTCATTTTGTCGTGTAATATGTGACTAAAATTTGTAAAATAGATTTTCTTGTATCTAAATATTTGGATGTACTCAATCGATATATACTTAGTAGAAATTCCATGAAAATAATAAACAGTTGTAATATTTTTTTAAAAATTTTATTTAACTCTGTATTTTATCTAGTCAGTATTGCTTCGTTTTAGAAATCTTCTGTTGGTTTTAACAATTTAATATTATTGTCCGGTGTATTTTTTTTCATATGCTAAAATAGTTATTTGTTTTCCAGGAACATTGCAGTGAAGAGGTGACAGCGGGGTGGAAGAAGTTATTACATGTTTCAGATCTGTGGCGATGTGTTATAACTGTAAATCTATATATTGCAAATATATTGTATGATAGTTGTAAAATAAATAAAACTTAATAAATCTTATTTGATTTAATGTTTTTTTCTGTATTTAAAATTGAGTTAACTGCTCTTCTGGATTAAAAATTGTAATTTTACGAACATAAGACTTAGAAAAATTTTAATTTTTGTAAGTAAACAAATAAAATGGTAAATTTGGTTAATATTTTTTTTTACTTCGTGTGTGTGTTAAAATAAATTTTAGTCAAATTTTTCAAGCTAAAAACTAAAAAATAAGCATTTTTTTAAAAAAAAAATAATGAACCCAAAAGCATTCTGGAAGAGTAGATAATTTCAAGCAAGCAATTTGGAAACATGGACTTAAGGAGAGCAGTAGATTTCTTAATTATTAATTTGAACCAAAAGAAAAATATATTTTTTCCATAGGGGTTTGGAAAATCATGTAATTATTGAGTAATTTTTTCTTCTACCACTTCTTTATATTACAGACTTTTAGGCTTGAAAAATTTAAAAAATTCCTGAGAGACATGAAGATTTGCATTCCATATTCGTTGAATTATAATTTGAATTGTAAAAATTTACAAAAAGTGTGAGATTAAAAACAAAAAGCTTTTTCTAGTATTCTTAAAAGAAGCATGAATATCTGCTATTTTCCGTTATTTTAGTTTTAGTTTGAAAATAATTATAAATTTTTTTTTAAATAAAAAGTAAATGCTATATTTTTTAGTGTAATTAGTGCAGCGTAAACATTAAAATACGGAATGGTTTTTTTCCTTCTCAGTTAAAAAAAAAAAAAAAAAGAAAAAAAGAAAAAAAAACTTAAAATATGTTATTGTTAACAATTCGGTAAAAATTACGTTAAACTGAAAATAATTTAGTTAAATTTACTTGAAAAATTTATTAATTCACCTAACTCAAAATAAGCATTAAAAATATTGATAATAATACGTAAGTTGTATGGATAAAATACGTTTGTAATTTGGTTAAAATAACGTAAAATGTGTGTTATTTTAATAAAAATAAGCGTTAAAAACACGTAAATATTCATGGTGAAAAAAACGAATTTATAGAACCAAAAATAAACGTAAATAGTTTGGTGAAAAAGAACGTAAAATATACGTTAAAGAGGAAACCTGCTTGGTTAAAATCACGTGAAAAATTGGTTACGAAATTCACCTTTGTCAAAATAGGGGCAAAAGTCGGTCATTTTTACGTTAAAAATAACCCAAATATTAACGTTTTTTTAACTAATTCGAGACTACTACTTGAAACGGAAATAAAACGTTTTGCGAAAACGTTTTTCTGCTCAAAACCTTGTGGCATTTTAACGTTATTTTCACGTAATTAATACTTATCTCTGCTGCATGGGAGTACATAGTAAATTACTTGATTTACTAACATTCCTTGAAATCATCATAAACGGAGTTAGAAAAAAAAGTAAGATTTTAGGTCAGTCAGATTATCGAACCCCCTCCATTGTGAAAGTATAACATGTAGAACACGCCAATGAAACATTGAAAATATTTAGCATTAGCTACAACAATTTCAATTTATTATTTGAAAAGGTTGCTCGATTTTACCTTAGCTTGTTATTAAACTGAATTTTTTTTTAAATATTGCTTTTTCGAATTCCATTTGAAGTGATTATTTTAGTGATGAAGTGATTGAAGTGAACGCATTATTTTAGTTTAAATTCAATACAAAATGGTTTAAGGACAATAAAAATAATATTTTTAAGAAGAAAATTGACTTCCAGACTAACAATAGAAGATTACACGACTACATGTCAAAAAATTGGACGATCCCCAAAAAAATGTTGTGGTAAGTAAAAAAAAATTTTTTTTTGAATAATTTGATAAAAATATAGTTTTGCAACGGTGTAATTGGTGAAAAAAGAAAGATAAAATATGCTTTATTGATTGATTTATACGCACTAAAGTTGTCTGAGCAGACTTTTATTATTAGCTGATAGTTTCAAAAAAAGTTCATCAGATAGTATTATAAAAAGTATTCCAATTTCTTCTAATATTTTTTATGCTTTCAAAATAAAGTTTATAACTTTACAACAGTCTCAAATTAGAGTCTTTCTAATTAGAGTCAATTTTTGAGATTTTTTTGATGAAATGATTTTTTTTAAAAATAAAAGTAGAAGCAATTGTAATAATTACCGTTAATTAGGATAACTGTTATCTTTCTGGGTTCTGTTCCCAACACCCACAAAATAAAAGGAGGAGAAAGTATATATAAATTGTATCTAAAACCTCGACAGTGATTATTACTATTGTTGCAAAGAAACAATTACCATTGTTGCAAAGTTACTCAGCGATTGTTGGGAGCATGGGTAGACGACTTCTTTTTCGAGCTTTTACAAACACAAGACCTGGACCCTCAGCCCGACAAGTATAAATTTTAATATCAAGAAGAATTTTTAAGAAATACCGATATTTAATAGCATATTGCGATAATTTGAGATAATAATTTGCAATAATAATGCTGTAATCTGCATTTGCGATAATTTGTATCTTAGCCTTGGTCAAAATTTTCGTTACCAACAATAAAGTTTTCAAAACTCACAGCAATATCATAGTTAATTATCAATATTATGTGTTATATTCTCAATATTATTTTTGCAATATGTTATATAATCAATAATGATCACTATTTAATCCTATTTGTTATGAATTATTATAATTAATGATTCCGATATTTTCACACTTTTATACAACTATGTATAATCGGTAGACGGATACCGATGTTAACTAGATTCTGGTATTGTTCATTCGCATCGGTGAACTTAGTTTCATGGTCCCTATAACTGATAAGTGCCCCAACATATTCTAATAAATAAGTCATGCCTACTCCTCTTTATCTAAAGCGAACGCAAGCAATCTTTTATTGCTTGTAGAGCCCATGATGTCCAACCGGCACAATTACCCAATCACCACAGTCGTTCAATCATCTATGTTTTTTTCCCCCACACTATTATTAACCATGGATCCTTTTTATTATTTTAAACGGGATATCTTCGAAGGATATGTTTCTACGTAGAAAATAAGTACTTGCGGACTGAAGAGTTAACAAGTGCTCATGCTCTGTATGTTAATACAAGTTACGTAACAAGCGCTCCCTAGTTACATAACCTATGCGCATAAACTTAGTTGAGTATAGCCAATGAATTCTCTAGATTGGATACAAGATAGTTAATGGAGTCTGCGCGAATTTCATCCAATGAAAATCTCCCCTGGTGGAAGGGCGCAATTTGTCTCCCACCTCATTTCTGGTTAGAACCATTAATCAAATATTGTTACTAGTGATCGAGTTGATGAAAGTACAGAGTCAAAAGATGGAGAATTTCGATAGTTCAAGTTCAGAATTTGAGGATTATCCAAAATCTTCTCCTTCTTCAATTTCCTCATCTTCTTCAATTCCTTTATATTCTTCCTCAGAGGTAAGATATCTTAAACGAATTTAAAAGTTAATAGCCTGAAACTTTCCCGTATTGTTTTTCATATTGTGTCATATCAGCGTAAGATTATTCATTACTGAGAAATATCTCTGGCTTTATCAGCTTAAAATGATTTAAGATTTAGCCGTAATTATCTGTAAATTATTTATTCCTTATTATTCTCTTATTGAATGGTATTAATCAGCAGTATTTATCAACAATTTCTTATTATTATTGCGTTTTTGATAGATCGCCGTTATTATAACGTTTTTGATACTCGCTATAACACAAATTTAACGTCTTAAAACTAAAAGTGGAGTTCCTGGTTTATATTGTTTGGTAATTCTATGGTATTATATTACTAAGCAAAATTTCGCATTGAGATATTTAGTTACCGTTTCACAATCGTTTAAAGGTATATAATTTACATTCATTTTAAATAAAGTAACTTTAATTTTACTATGAATTTCGTATAAAGCTCTATTCAGCCAACGAATGCAAATAAAATAATTAATAAATATGTTTTCATGAAATTCTAAAACAAGGCTAATAATTGAATTTTTTTATTATTGTTAAATCATGTCAATGAGGAAAAACTAGTTAATTAATTTCAAATTTAACAGACGCTCGAGAGTATTGAAAATAGATTTAATTTTAAAAACAATTCTAAATTTAATACTTTTCAACCATTCATTTTTAAATATATATGTTTGATTAAATATTTAACGGGTTCTCATTTTAATCCACGTAATGAATTTAGAGTCTTACTATTGTATATGAATGTTTAAAATATATTTAATATCTAAATGTATGGATTTTTAATCAATTATTTAAGTATATCTGTTATAATAAGAATTCCTAGGCTTTTCATTCAAAATTGAGTAGATAATTAATTTCAGCGTTAACTGAAGCTCGTGACTGTTTAAAATAGGTTTAATTTTTCGAAAAATTTGAAATTTAACTTTTTCAGACATATATTTTGAATTGAATATGTTTGAGTAAATATTTCGAAGCTTCTAATTTTAAATGCACTACGTAATTTGACGCTTACTTACGTATAAAAATGCAGAAAATTTATTTATTATCCAAATGTGCAAATTTTCAATAAATTGCTTTAAATAAATTTTTTATACACAGAATTTTGAATTAAAAGTAGCTAATTAATAAAGTTCAACATTAACTGTCGCTTGTCGCTACTAAAAATAGGTTTCATTTTAAGAACATATCTAAATGCAATTATTTTCAGAAGTACATTATAAGATGAATAAGTTTGAGTGAATATTTTCAAGCTTTTCCTTTTAAGTAGATTTTAAAATAGCAACTAAAAGTAAGTTTAATTCTACGAACAGATCTTAATGTATTCATTTTCACTAATTTACTTTTAAATAAAATGCTGTATTAAATATTTCAATGCTCCGCCTTTAAAATACACTAATTATTGTATTTTAACGATTACTAAAGTATATAACTGTTAATTGTATATTTATTATCTAAATATTTAAATTTCCAGCCAATTATTTTAAACATACCTGAGATAATAAAAATTTCCAGACTTTTAATTTAAAATACACAAGTCAAGGATTTTTTTAACGTTGATTAACTCACATGACTATAAAAAATA